AACCCTAAACCCTAAACCCATACTACTACTTCTGCTACGACGACGACGACGACGAGGAGGGGGAGCTCAGGAGTCTTCTTCCGTCGGCCCAGGGGGCCCGCGAGGACTAGAATAAACTTGGCTGACTTATGAACCCCTCGGAAAATTGTACTTTAGGGTTTAGGGTTTAGGATTTTCAGCCTCTTTATAACAGTTCATGTAGAAACCTGAAAAGCTAAAGTCCTAAGACCCAGCCAGAAGAATGCCAAGTAAAGTTCTTGGAGAGGGAACACTAACCATGCAAGAACATCAGTGCATTGATGAAGAAATTCAGGGGCTGAAACTCGGCATTCCTGTGATCGGCGGCTGGTGGACATCCATCAGCTCACTCACCGCATCCGAGAAAAAGCTATGCTCTGGATTCCGAAGCACCTGAGGAGCTGCCTTAAGTGTGTTTTAAGAGTTCCTTTGACGGATCTCTATCCGGGGTTCTATGCGGGATCTACAGGGTCTTCGGCTCTCTCCGCATTGTCGTTTTTGTTTAGTTAAGGCCTGTGAATGTTGTCTTCAGCATGAATTCAGCTCCTGGCATCCTGCCGCCAAACTTGCTCTTAGGCTTCAAACTGGTTTAGGGTTTAAAATTGAACAAGCCTTAAGGCGGGTTGGAGGCTGTAGTACTTTCGGGCCTGAGAGAGCAGGGTTTTGGGTTTAGGGGTTTAGGGCCTAAGGTTTGGGGTTCAGGGTTTAGGGGTTTAGGGTGTAGGGCAGTAGGTGCTCGGATCCACAGGTACGTCTTACAGGAGTAGATGATGGTAGATGCGTCCTGACTAGGCCGGGCCCTTTTCCGTTCAGGACCCTCGAAGATTTAGCTAATGTAGGGGCCGAAATACGTAGAACACTACTTTGGGGACTCCTTGATTACAATTATAGAAGAATGGGCCCCGAAACCCTGTTCTAATTCTGAAGGCCCCTAAACCCTGAACCCTTCTAGTGGCCCTTATAGAACCCTTTAAGGAACCCTTTAAAGGAACCCCCAAAACCCTATTCTAATTCTTCAGGCCCCTATATTACGAGAAGTGAGGCCCAGTTCCCAGACTCTACGCCTGACAGCCCGTCAACCCAAGCTTAGGAAATCACGACAATTTAGGGTTTAGGGTTTAGGGTTTAGGGTTTAGGGTCCGACAAGAAGGCTCACATCAAAAACCGAAACCAATCCCAAACGAGACAATGCCAAGAGTTCAGCATTTAGACAACGTCTTACAGTAGGCACCCCTCTACCCCACAACCCTGGAGCCAAAACACAATCTAAAACCCTAAACCCTCTCTCACCCCACACCAAAAAAACGACTAATAACATTCATCATCAGCAGCATAGTCATCATCTCAGTAGGCATAAGACAAAGACTTGACGAACGATAACAATAACAACAACATGAATAAAGGAGATGCCATTCATAGTAATAATAATAATAATAATAACAGTAGTAGTAGACACGAGTAACAAACACTGAGTCACTGAGTTACAACAAATACAAATAACAACCCTAAACCCCTAAACCCCTAAACCCCTAAACCCCTAAACGCCTAAACCCCTAAACCCCTAAACCCCTGAACCCGAAACCCCAAACCTCTGAACCCCGAAACCCCCTAAAAGCCTAAACCCTATACCCTGAACCCTCTACACCCTAAAACCTAAACCCTAAAACCTAAAGCCTAAACCCCAAAACCCCTATAAACCCCAAACCCCTAAACCCCAAAACCCTTAAAACCCTAATCCCTAAACCCCCTGAAGATCCCTAAAAGGGCGCCGCCGCACCTGGCAGGCCTCCTCCGCCGTGGGCCGGGCTGCCGGGTCTCTGTACCTCAGAGGAGCTGAGGATTCCGCTAAGGGTTTAGGGGTTTAAGGTTTAGGGCTTTAGGGTTTAGGGGTTTAGGGTTTGGGGGTTTAGGGTTTAGGAGTTCGGGTTTAGGGTTTAGATGGTTTGGTGCTGTTTGGCGATACTGTGTTCTGCAGCG